TATAAGTAATGAATAGGCGCTATTTCAATATAAACATTTGTGATTTGGAAGCGGACAGAATACTCCTGAGACATTCAGTAATATACTGTTAACATGTTAACACGCTGTGAATTACTCTTCACCAATTATATTATATAAGTTTTTACCTTAAGTGTTAGTACTTAATTTTCTTACATATCAGAAGTGGGATAAAGAACAAATACAAACGTTAAATAAGCAAGATCAAATAAATATGTGACGATATCAGTGACTTAGTTTTGTTGTGAATCATGAATAGACACAGTGAAGCATTATTAACCCCAACACCCAGTACGTTGAGAACCATGGTGCATACCTCTGATGTACAGCTGTCACAAAGGTCCCACACACCGCCATTGACAGTGGAACACATGCAAAAACAGATAGACCATTTGCGTGAGGTGGTAAGTGCAAGCTCATTTTTTGCCGATAAAATCGTACAAAGACCAAATTGGACACTTTATAAAGATGACAGATTATTATCTGATTTTGATCCAAGCGATGATAACCAAAATGTTACTGACTGGCTAAATAAAGTAAATGAATGTGCTCGTATGTATCACTGGGACGAGTTAACTGCTATTTACTTGGCTTTGGGTAAATTAAAGGGGTTTGCTAAAGTATGGTACGATGGTTTAAAAACTGCGCAGTATTCATGGGTTCAGTGGGAACATGTATTAAAAACTACGTTTCCTGGGAAGTTAAATTTTGGTCAATCATTTTACAAAGCAGCGTCCTTTAAAGCCTATTCTGGGCAAGATTTGCACGCGTATTGTTTTATAAAATTAACTAAATTAAACAAACTTCGGTTAAATCTGACAGACGAATAAATTATAGATGTAATCATAGATGGTATTCAAGACAACCAAACTCGACTCACCCTACGGGCGGCTAATTGTACGGCTTTCGTTAATTTTGCAGCTTATATAAAAAATTTCTTGAGTGCCAAACAAGAGCAAAACGCTAAACTACGCTCATATAGAGGGGATCGAAAGCGATCTTTTGATGAGAACAAACAACGAAGTCATAGAACAGAAAATTCAAGAGAGTCAGATCGGTGGCAAATTAAATGTTATTATTGTAATGAAATTGGACATAAACAGTCTATTTGTCCACAAAAGAAAAATGCTACAACTAAATGTCCTTTTTGCAATAGACACGGTCATGTAGAAAATAATTGTCGAAACAAAAAAAAACGGTTTAAGGAAAAACATGATTCATATAAAAGCGTAAATTTTCTCGGCACGTGTAACGAAAATATATATTTCAAACGAGTTAAACTTAGTAATAACATTGTCAAATATTTTGTAGATCTTGGGTGTGAGTGTACGCTAATAAAGAAGTCAGTTGTTCGTATATTCGAATTGACTCAAAAAGAATGTAAGAAGCATATAGAATTGCATGGCTTCAGTGGTATGTCATTGATACCAAAATTTCAGTGTCAAGGATTTTTAACTGTCGATGCGGTAAGCCTCGTCATCGATATGTATATAATAAAAGACTCACACATGTTTGTTGATTTACTGATCGGTCATAATTTCACTGAGGACGCATCGGTGTTGATTATTAAAACACTGTAACGAACCTTTTATTAATTTATCCGTTAAGTATCCGATGAACTATTATCTTTTCCTATGTTAGTAATGTAAGCGTTGAACTCTGTATTTATTGTGGGTCTGCGTACTAACATCCGACGAACCGTTGATCTACGTCAGAAACCGGCTATAAAAGGCCGACCTCCGGCACCTGAGATTCAGGAGTGTTGATCGGCAATATCCTCAACACGAAGTAAGTCCGCCTCCTCCCTTGGTATCGGCAATATTCCTACCAAGGTTCCTTTCTCCCTATCCGTCCGTCTGAGAGCAGAGCGTCGGCCATATCCCGCCTGTTCTCAGCATCCGCCCTATCCGTCCGTCTGAGAGCAGAGCGTCGGCCATATCCCGCCTGTTCTCAGCATCCTCCCTATCCGTCCGTCTGAGAGCAGAGCGTCGGCCATATCCCGCCTGTTCTCAGCATCCTCTCCTATCCCGCCGTTTTCCCGAACAACCGCCAACCTGAGTCAAAAGTAGTTTTCCATTTTCCGTTTCACCGAATGTTAGTACCGACCGCCCCCGAATTGTCCGTGGGAATTTATTTATTTAGTTGTTTGCTTAAAATAAACTGGAGTATATCTATTGGGAAAAGTGGTTTCTTTTCTAATCGAGACCCCTGGTGTATCTTTCTCCATTGTTGTTACCCGGACGGCGACTTTTTGTGAGACATCCGGGTCTCACACTGAAAGTACGTCACAACACAAAAACAATTAAGGATCACGAAATTGCCTACACATAAAATATCTACTAAATTTTGGATTAATCAAATAATTGATGAGTCATACACTTCAATTTAGAGAATATTAAATAGGGGGATATCAGTGTAAAGAAAAGAATGAAATTGTTTGATTTATTGCAGCATTTCATATCTAGGTTTTGTTTTACTTTATAGGGATTCGGTCATGCTCGCTCAGCCGAAATGAATATTGAATTAAATTCTACTAAACCTGTCGTATATGCACCTTATCGATAGTCTCTGTCAGAACGAGAAAAGGTAAAGTGTATGATTACGGAACTTTTAGACTCCGGTGTAATCCGCGAATCGCACTCAGAATATGCAAGCCCAATTTTACTAGTTAACAAAAAAGATGACGGCACTCGAATGTGCGTCGATTATAGAGCATTAAATAAACTTACCAAAAAAATTAAGTACCCTCTCCCTCGTATTGATGACCAAGGGATTTTATCAAATTCCATTAAGTGAAACGTCCATTGATAAAACGGGTTTTGTCACTCCGGACAGTCACTATGAATTTTTGATTGCACCGCGATTCGCAGTACCGCTACCAAAAAGGATATAATTTCTCGAGTCGCAAAATGGTGGCTTTATCTTTAAGGCGATGATTTTGAAATTGAATATAGAACTGGGACCAAAATGGCCCACGTTGACTTCGCGTCGCATTCTCCAACAAGTCCTTGTTAATAATATAATAGAAGCTGATTGGCTCCTGACGGCTCAATCACCGGACGAATAAATGTGTCGAATTCGAGATATTCTTCGGTCTAAGGATCGAGATCTAAGTAGGTAATAAAGTTTTTCATGATAATTATACATTGAAGGGTGATGTTGTTTATCGAAAACTTGGAAATGCAAATAAATGGTTAGTACCAAGATCAAACAGATGGCAAATCTGCAGGTTATGTCATGATGACCAAGGTCATTTCGGTTTAGAAAAAAAAACTATATAAAATTCAAGAGAATTATTGGTTCCCAAAACTGCGTCAGTTTGTAAGTATGTAAATGCTTGTCTAAATTGCCTCTATTATAAAGCTCAGACGGGAAAAAGGCCTGGTAACTTAAACCCAATAGAAAAAATTACGGTTCCATACCATACGGTGCACATCGGTCATTTAGGTCCTTTTATTAAATCAAAGAAAGGAATTACACAATTATTAGTTATGGTCGACGGGTTTACTAAATTTACAATTCTTGAGCCTGTACGAATCATCAAAACCAAGCTGGTTAAATGTCTGCAAGTCATTATTGATATTTTCGGTGTTCCCACGCGTATAATTACTGATAGAGGCACCGCATTTATGTCGCATAGATTCCGACAGTTCTGCCTAGATTTAGGGATCAAACACATTCAAAACGCTATTGCCACGCCCAGGGCAAATGGACAATGTGAACGAGTAAATCGCACCGTGTTGGGTGCATTAGCAGCCCTTAACTGGAAATGTTGAAGATGATATGTGGGACACTCAAAACGTAATTAGTAGCAAGTTTCTATATATTTTAGTAATTAGGCAGTATTTTTTAAGTTAATACGACTCGCCAAAGTAAAAAAATAATTCAGATTAGGTATATATTTTTACTGAAAATAGCAGTTAATTTACATTATCGGATTGTTAATGTGAAAATATAAACATTAGACTGTTGACTATTCCATGTTATACGTGTTTTAAGGTCATTTTTGAAGAAGAAACTACATGTAATTTTAAAAATCGTATTTCTGCTTTTATAATGAAGGAATAGTAATTATAAGATTGTTTAAGCTTATTAACTAAAAATTATTGCCTACTTAATAAAAAAAATATTATTGTCCTCGATAATCTATTACTGATTAATAAAACCTTTACTCTCTTTCTTTATAAGATTGTATGTACACAGATTGGAGCCGTTCCTGAAAAATCGGGCGAATATTGGTCCAGCGTAAATTATTAGACTTGAAGCGTTGGCCGCTAGAGCAGCACTTGCCGGGGTCCCGTTTCGTGACTCACGCTGGGCGATATTTTTTGTACAAAATCCCGTCCTTAAGAGAAAAAGGCAACTTTAAACCAGATGTAGGAAGTTGACATCCACAAACTGCACAGGCTGTATAGAGGAAGAGGCTTTGCATTGAACTAAAGAACAACCTACCACAAGCTGTTTTAAACAATTATTACAAATTTATTGTTTCTGCCTTATCCTTAGGAAAAATTACTTAAGTATCGAAACCATTACGTTTTTGGACAAAAATTGCTCTAGATCCAAAACAGCTCACTTCCGACTAGGCAGGGGTTTACATACAAAAATTTTCTTTCGCAATGTCCTCTTGCCCTTTCAAGTTCGGCAACACCCTGTATACTTATATGAAAAAAAAGATGTTAATTACTTTTAATAAACTCGTATATAGACACCGTTTTGGTTCGGTGAGCATTATTTTTTTTTTGTATTAAAAATGTCTTTTTATAAAGATAGGATGTACCTAGGGCTTAAGCGAATTTATCAAGATTAAGATATGGCTATTCAATTGACAGTATAAAATTGTATTAATAACAATATAAGAAAGAGTCAGACACTGAAATGTTATTTTTATAATTATTCCTAGTAGGAGCTCAAAAATAAGCCTTTGATAAGATTGTTACATTAGTTCAAATTTCTGTTCAAATGTAGAAATTTTAGTTGCCGGTAGATAAATGACTATTTTGGATTCTTCTAATTGTAAGTGCTGAGTTCAATTTAATATATTTTTTTTATTAAAGATAAAAAAGTGTTAACTCATTTAGTGTAATTAATACATAAATAAAGTTAGACTAGAAAGCAGTATTATAACATTTTTGCATGAAATATATAATATGTATGTAGGTGTGTCAATACTAAATTAATGTGCTGTTTTTCAGAATTGATTTCATTAATTATTTTAACTGAATTTAGAACCATTTTAATACGAAATTAGAAATAAAATATCTAGTAGTTAGACAGGATGTACTTAAAATGCATAATTGAACATTATCGGCAGGGTATATGTAATAAAACAACAAAAAATGTTGTATAAATATGTGTAAATATAATAATAATTTTTACTCGTTCACAAATACATATACAATTTGAACATAGATAAGTAAATAGATATTATTATTATAAATCTGTGGCAAAAAGGAAAAAGGGGATAAGTCTAAATGTCATATTTTAGAGGAGCTAAATAAAACTGTTTCACTAAAAAGTGATTAAACTCTTTTTTCCTGTTTTGTACTTCTGAGGTTGGCCAATGTCATTTGATGTAAAATATGCACAGAAGTAGACTGCATCTGGCCATTAGTTTTTGAAAAATCATTAAATATATTACTTATCCCTGATTACCTTACTTTATCCAACTTTGTTAAAATTCTCAAAGGTTGCAAGTCGACTTAACCCGATTTGAGGTTTTCAATTTTTTATGTTGACAGGTATACTCAAAATTCTAATTAGCTATAAGTAGACATACACAAGTGATATAGTAGTAACATACCTGTTTATTAATAATTTTAATGATTGGTAAAAATAATAGTTTCGTCCATCACAATAAAACATATTTTTTCTGAGGTTATGTTACTCCATTATATTCAAACTTACGTTTATCATCGATCACATCAACATTTATACACTTCTGAAGTAAAGTATATCCACGACTATTGATATCCATTGTTTTTCTTTATACTAGACACTTTACTACACAACACAATGTTGTTATTGCACTGTATTGCACATATCCAGTGAAAATAACAGACTGTATTAAGTGCACTTAACCATAACACTTCAATGTTTAATGAATTTGTTTGGTAATAACAAAAGGGGTTAAGTTGACATATTGCTTTTTATAATTGCTGCCATCTAGGTTAAATTCTATTTAGCTGGGATATGTGTAGTTACGACGTTATTGCGTTGCTAATAATCAAGGAAACTTCGAATTAATGTAATTTTAAGAGTTATGTTTACTTAACTCTTTTCTTCGTTAGCTTTATTTGGCAATACTATATTAAGTAGAGATATCCCATTTTGTCAGATCATCAAAAACAATATTATAAATGCTGGGAGAGAAGAATGTGAATTGTGGGATATGTAGACTTATCCCTTTTTTCCTTTTTGCCACAGAAATATGTTTCTTAAAATAGAAGTGATTTAATTCAAAGATGTAAAAGAATTTGATTTAAATAGACAAGCATATTTCCAGATGTGGACATTTTGAAACGCAGAAAAATTAAAAAATCCGGGACGGTTTTACAAACCCTAAAATTCCCGTTTTTTGTGAATTTTCATTTTTGAGAAAATAGACTTAATTATTTCGTTTTCGAGCGTTAAACTGTGTTCCGACAAAACTACCACTGACTTGATAATTTTTTTAAATTTCATTTACTTTCTCAAGTTTGATTTTTACAGCAATTGGTTTTAAATGACACTACAAATAAACGTCAACCAGATTACGCTCCGGAGATCGAGGTAGCCAAGTTGCTAATCCCCTTTTCTTCTAAAAGGGATATCGCATATCTCTAGCACATCTCTAGCAGCACATCTTCCCTTAGAAAACAAGCTTCACATTTCACTAAAAATTATTATAAATTGAAAATAAATTCAATATCCTGCTCGGTCTTTGATCCATCTGTATTCCACGTAATAACTGAATCTATAACATGTCATTAATTTTAATATTTTGTAACTCGAGAACGAAGCGTTTCTGGATTATTTTTTAATATATAATCTGCTATTTATGTTTGGGCAGTGCATGGGCAGTTACCTACACACTGTGTAAATACATTGTATCAAAAGGAAGAATAATTTGCACCAATTTTTGCCTAATTGAAGTTTAATTGTTTAATCCAAGCACCATTCTTCTCTCATAACGCTTATTGTGTTGAAACTTTGACCAAAAATTATTTTATTTAAGTTAATTTGAATTGAATTTTAAGGATTTGGTAAATAAAAGTGATCATCTACTTTTCATAAAAAACTGAGTTATTCATTTTTAGTTTAATATATTGTGATGTATATTTTATCTTATGTAAATATCTAGTTTATACCTGTAGATTTCTTTTAAAAGAATATACTTACAGATACAGTACGCGCCTAAAGTATGGAATAAATTCAGTAAAAACGAAACAAATTTTTTTTGGGAAAAATCCTCGAACAGGTCGATTTTTAATTTAAAAAATACTTATTTTGGCATAAAAGGCGATTTTTAACCGTCATTTGTTTTCAAGTAATGAGGTCATGGAAATTTTTTTTTAAATAGCAACCCCCTATTTTTTTTTCCTTGATTCTGAAAGATCGTCGATCCGACAGTATTGAAATGTTGCCATCTTACATAGGAATGTTTTCGAGTAAATGACGATTGAATGTTAGAAAACGTAAATTTTATTCATTAAAGAAATAACAATTCCTATGTCAAGCAAATACAATTCATTAAGTTTTCTACCTATATTAACTGTTCGAACTGTCACCCACAGACTTCTTGACAATACGCAAGTCTGTGTAGAAATTCTTCTTGCACATTATGAAATATTTCTGGGGTAACTCTGTGTATTTTATCTATAATACAATTTTGGAGTTCTTCTAAATTATGTAGTCTATTAACGTACACTTTGGATTTTAAGTAGCCCCATAAGAAATAGTCCGGGGGTGTAAGATCTGGGGATCTTGCGGGCCATTCCTTTGGTCCTCGTCTGCCAATCCACCTCCTAGGAAAACAATTGTCCATAAAATCTCGAACAGGGCGCTCATGGTGCGGAGGTGCACCGTCTTGCTGAAACCATATGGTGTCATCAGGAATATCAGGGTCATTATCGTTAGGAAAAATTACTGCAAGCGCTGGAACAAGGTCATTTTGTAAAAACTCTAAAGATCTTTCTCCTGTAAGGGTTCCTTCAAAGAAAAAAGGCCCTACTACCATCATAATTTCATAAAAGTATAAGCGGCGGCGGCGGTCGGGATCATCTTCATTGGGTTACTGCACAAGTTGAATTTTGTAGGGATGATATTTATCATTCCCTGAGATACGTAGCACTGTGGTCTGACTAATTTCATTGTTTAATGCAACCAATCGTAAAGTATTATGAGGATTATCTACCAAAATGTTCTGTTTGTGATCTTTACTAATGCTTGGACGTACAGGTTTTGGAATATCTACAACATTGACAGTTTCTCTAAATTTAGATTCTATCTTCCTGACTGTTGATTGGCTGATACGGCGATCTGGATGTTTTTCATTAAATAAATCGCAAACTTCCTGCTGCGTTCTAGTCTTATCCCCGCATCCGATAAGAACTAAAATTTAAATTCTTTGTGTGACAGTTAAATGTGCCATAATACTTTAAATTCAACAATAATTACAACACTTAGGGCCAAATTCAGAGATTTCCCTAAATCTATACTAACCTTTCACTCATCTCAAACTTATGCTTCACTCAACTTAGGGTGCCCTCATGTCATTCTCAATTCTGGTATTCAGAAATGTGTATAAATGAGTCACTAACTTGAGTGTGCATCAAACCACAAATTACTAGACAAGGAAACAGTTGGCTACTCAAATATTACCAAAAATATGTCATCAGTAGAAACCTAATGTCACAATATTTCTTTATTTTGAATTTGAATAACTGACGTTGAAAATATATACATAATAAGTTACATTTAAATAATAAATAATGAAAATCAAAAGGTCTAATAAATTATCCAGGTAAAAACGATCCTCATAATATTCCAAGTAATAATTAGTTAGTAGTTAGTAATATTTAGTTCATTTTCTTACTATATACTTCATATAGATTAGAATGAGTGACAAGCAATCATTTATGAGGTATGCAACAGAAATAATTTTTAAAAAATAATTATAATATATATAGCATTCACATATAGAATATCCTTTATTGAATACCTGGACTTAATTATTTGTAAAATATACTGCTAGAATATTATGAAACCACAAAATTAATAAATTAGGAACATATAAGCACACGTCAGACACCACTAATATGTCACTAACCTAGCACTCATTTGTGAGGGCAATATGAGTACGATTTAAGTGACTCATTGAATTAGAATTGTTTATGAATACGATTAGGGTGAGTTTAGTACGAGATAAGTGTGAGCGGAACTTTAGTGAGATCTATGAATTTGGGCCTAAATCGGCGTTCCGATATCTGACAATACTTTAATGGAAAATGCATGTCTCTCATAAAAAGCACAGATTTTGAACATTTGAAAAATTGAGCTTGTGAATTCTGAAGTTAATNATTTTTGGGAATTTTTCAATTATGTTGAAGATGTTGATGGTTTTTTACCTGTACCTAGGTAAGTAACTAAAAGTGTTTACCTATTGTAATTAGCAGTAATACTAATATTTCCATTTTATTTTCAGAATTTTATTGAGAGATAATTCTAATCCTTTTGAAAGGTACACTAACAGTGAATTGATACAACGTATTAGATTCTCAAGAGATACTATAGAAACTACAGTACTTCCAATGGTTTATCATAACATTAGAGATGGTGATAATCGTGGACTACCAGTTCCCCCTGCATTAAAGTTGTATGTGGCATTGCGGTTTTTTGCAACAGGGTCTTATCAGGTATTGATGACTTTTATTATTATTCATATCTTGATTTAAATGTAATTTAATTTCTTTTCAGCAAGTTTATGCTGATGTAGCCACAATCAGTCAGTCCTCGGTCTGCAGAATTGTCCGAGAAATTAGCGAGGAACTTACAAGAAGTTTACCAAGACTTATTACATTTCCAGCCCACACGGAAATATTAAAACGACAATTTTTTGAAATTGCGGGGTTTCCTATATAATTAATTAGACTTTAATTTGATCTTGATTATTTATTATTTAAATGTAACTTATTATGTACCTACATATTTTCAACATTCAAATTCAAAATAAAGAAAAATGTGACATTAGGTTTTCATTGATGTCATTATATTTTTGGTAATATTTGAGTAGCCAACTGTTCCCTTATCTAGTAATTTGTGGTTTGATGCACACTTAAGTTAGTCACTCATTTAGACACATTTCTGAATATCAGAATTGAGAATGAGATGAGGGCACCCTAAGTTGAGTGGAGAATAAGTTTGATATGAGTGAAAGGTTAGTATACATTTAGGGAAGTCTCTGAATTTGGCCCTTACAATACTTAGAAAGTCGGTATGACAGTGGCACTTTGTAAAGATTTACACATACATGATCCATAAAAAACTTTTTTGTTTTATTTTAATTGATTTGGGTTTTCTAACATTCAATCGTCATTTACTCGAAAACTTTCCTATGTAAGATGGCAACAATTTAATACTATCGGATCGACAATGAAACGATCTTTCAGAATCAAGAAAAAAAATAGGGGCTGCTATTTAAAAAAAAATGCCGATGACGTCATTTCACGAAAACAAATGACGGTTGAAAATCGCCTTTTATGCTAAAATATGTATTTTTTAAATTAAAAATCGACCTGTTCGAGGATTTTTCCCAAGAAAAATTTGTTTCGTTTTTACTTTATTTATTCCGTACTTTAGGCGCGTACTGTATATCTACTAGAACACTTGAGTAAAATAACAAAAAGTGATAATAGTAATAAAATAATGTTCCATTGCAAAATTGCAAAAAAAAATTAGAGGTATATCCTTGGTTATCCTAATACTGAAAATATCGCATTGAAAGCAAAAAATAAAATATGAATGGATTTGAATTTTTTAAGTACCTAAGCTTTGACTTTAATTTCGATGTATTGATAATAATCAGTTATAATTTAATTAATGATTTTGTGGGAAATAACTAGTGTGTGGTCTACATGTTCCTTCCAGCATCGAGCTACACTTAACATCTAGTAAAAACCTAAGATCATTCATCAGCGGCTCACCAGACACAAACTTCTTCACAATATGGGCAACTGGAAACGGCCAGAAGAAGTTCCATTTCCATCTATCTGGAGAACTTTTGAAAGAAGGGACGCTGATGGAGTTGCCCGAAAATATTGGGTTCAGGATCTGACGCCTGAATATGAAGATATATTTATAGATAACATGAAAAAGATTTTTTTAAAAGACGAACCTGTATGCAAATATTCAAGTAAGTAAACTGACATAGCTGTAGGCTGATTATGGCAAAGGGTATCGAATAGAAAGGGTCTAACCAAAAGAGAGATACCTGTCTAGATCATTCTCAATTTTTTCGTGGGGTCAGATAATTCTTAATTCTCGTTTTATTTAAAATAAATTGAAAATTTTTAAAATAAAGACGAATACTAGACCAACTCTGTTGTAGATATTGCCAGTATTGTAGAAAATGGTCATTGTGACCTTTTAAGGGTTGAGTTGAGGGTTTAAAATAACGAATTCACTCCCTTGACATCTAACAATCAGAACCACAATCAACATTCAATTGATACCTATCTAGGTACTAACGTAAAATTCTTTTAAATGATTTTTGACAAATTTATATTCTTTATGGATGGAATTATGAAAAACCAAAATTTCAATCACTTGTCTAAATACTGTTAAAAATTAAAACGTAAATGAATGCTGATATAGTGAATTATTTTATTCCATTTCAGATTTTGCGGAAGATCCACAGGCGGTACAAGACTTTACAGATTTATGGAGATATGGCTTTAGTCACAAATTAGGTATTATTTGCCTAACAGAAGATGAAAACGGCAAAATAGAATTTGTAGGGGGTAATATGACTGCCTTAAGTGAAAAAGGTACAAAAGGTGGTATAGAGGTAAGTAGTAAGTCACTTTTAATTTACAATATGGCTTAGAACTATTTAAAGGGAGACTACAGGGATATCGGAAACCGTTAGTCATATAGGGTGGCTCAAATTACAAAAAGGTTGCACAATTATGGGGCGAGTGTTTTGGTGAAAACAGATCCAAGATATCTTCGATAGTTTCTGAGATATCTCGAAAAAAGTGAAAATCCCGATTTTCTATTTTTCGTTATAACTCATTTGTTTTTCAAGATAGCCTCACGAAATTTTGTATCTAGACATTATCCAATTTCAATGGTGAGTTCAGATTTTTTCTATCTTCCATTATTTCAGAGTCGCGATAGTCAACTTTTTTTTCTTATGGACGCCATATTGGTTCTCCTCATGGATGGATAAAGAAAAAAAATACGAGTTCAACGATGTATCACACTTTAAAAAAATATGCTGTCTGCCTACAGCAATTTGAATTTCTTTTTAATTTTTCTGAAATAGTAAGCTGATGTCCGAATTGTTATTTTCTTTAGTTTAAAACATAACATGGTGTTCCATTTAAATTAACAAAGTTAATATCCCGGGCCATTTTGTTTGAACTTCATTTGTTTTTATACATCATTTTCGAAAACTTCATAAAAAATAGTGCAACAAACAAAAAAGTTAAAGGGGTGTCAAAATATAGTGAATTACTCTGTACATTAAATGGGCCTAAGTACTTGGATCTTCTACAAAATTATGTAGAGGAATTTCTCCAAACATTGCCGGTTATGCGTTATGTGGAATGCTGATATCAGCATGATGGTGCACCAGCACATAGTACTTTGCAAGTGAAACAATTTTTAAATAACAGATTCGGTGAACAATAGATTGGGACATGTCCTATGGATTATTTTGACCCCTCCCAACCTTTAACTTAACTAAGAGTTATAAAAAAAATGTGAAATACAAAAGTTGCATTATTTTTTATGAAGTTTTCGAAAATGATGTAGAAAAACAAATGAAGTTCAAACAAAATGGCCCCGGATGTTAACTTTGTCAATTTAAATGGAACACCATGTTTTACACTAAAGAAATTGACAATTCGGACATCAGCCTACTACTACTCAGAAAAATTAAAAAGAAATTCAAATTGCTGCAGGCAGACAGGATATTTTTGTAAAGTGTGATACTTCATTGAATTCGTATTTTTTTTCTTTATCCATCCATGAGGAGAACCAATATGGCGTCCATAAGAAAAAAAAAAAAGTTGACTATCGCGATTCTGAAACAATGGAAGATAGAAAAAATCTGAACTCGCCATTAAAATCGTCGTGTTGGATAATGCCTAGATACAAAATTTCGTGAGGCTATCTTAAAAAACAAATGAGTTATAACGAAAAATAGAAAATCGATATTTTCACTTTTTTCGAGATATCTCATAAACTATCGAAGATATATTGGATCTGTTTTCATCAAAACACTCACCCCATAATTGTGCAACTTTTTTGTAATTTGAGCCACCCTGTATGACTAACTGTTTCCGATATCCCTGTAGTCTCCCTTTAAATAGTTCTAACCCTGTATAGTTTCTACATCTAAGTAATTCGCACAGGCAAGTTTTATACCGTCGCGTCGCAGTGTAGTGGATTTTCATCGTCTGAAATAGTACACATTTAAAACAAATGTATTCTGTTGAAAAGGAAAAAATTCACTATACGGTACGACGGTGAAAAAAAAACCCTCATGTGTATGGGGTCTTAAGTTTATTCAAACACGTTACTACGTTCAAAAATTATATGATTTACTTATTTTAAAATAAATCTTATAATACAAATACACACTAGGCGGTTTCGTCGGGTCTCTAAAAGTCATATCTTGTGAGAAAAGTTCTCTATAAGGAAAAAATTAAATAATAAATTACTGTAATAATTTATCTACTAATGGGCCTGATACACGATAGCGACTTACTTATACGCAGAGCTGGGATGAATACAGAAAATAGTATTCAATCCATAAATACTGGATATTCTATGCATACTATGCACTGAATCCACTCTTCGCTTGTAGGCTTCTATGGCAGTTGCCAATGGTTGAACCATTTCCAGACCGGTTGTCACGCTGTCGGTCTAAACTCCTTAACGTTTCGAGAGAAGAGACGTATCGTTCTCTTCTTCGGTAGAAACCTAAAACTGGAGATTACATCCTCTGGTTGGTATTAATATTGGCACTGTGAGTTGATCCAGTGCATGACTTGTAGTCACTGGTCTATGTCGATCTTGTTCTTGGTATTTGCAGATGATTTCAGGTAGTTCAATTGAAATTCCAAAATTACCAATTAGGTACTTACCTACGCGATGTATTGTCGGAAATTATAAAATGGTGATTAAAAATATTGACTCCAGATTACAGATAGCAAATTACTTTATACGTTAGTAAAGTTATACTTACGTTAGGGAACAATTATATTTCTATATCTGTAGTCCTTTGAGGTTTTCAAACATTCGTTTTAAATAGCTAATTGACCATCTCTTGTACCATGCTACAACTAAATTCACTTACAACCCACAAATACAAGGGGAAAAATATAAAGGTATTACAATCTTAAACGTAATACAATGAATATATACCTTGTGTGATTCTTCGACATTAGTGTTTATATTATCGAATTTAACTATTATCAGTTTGTTTTATTATAATTTAATCTAGATAATAATGACCATAGAGTCGTAGTAAATGAAAAATGCTAATCTAGGAAAAACTGTTAAGACAAGAAAAGACGAAATGTTTATATTTTTTAATTATTTTTCCTAAAAATAAATTTTTGGAGCCTCTTAGATGATCATACTTATAACTTTTTTGGGAAATCATTTCCGTTAAGCTAAAAATTCGATTGTCCTTGCGAAGCTGTACTATAATAATATGTATTTACCTACTGATTTACTGATCACAAGTTATTCCATGTATTCCCAGTTATTGCACCATATTCCAAGTTGTTCCATCACTTCAATGTATTCCATATACAGGGTGGGCCACCAGTAACGCCTCGGTCGCTAGTGACCAAACGGCAAATGTTATAGAAATCTGTTTAGGTGGGTATGTGTAGGTTGATTAGGGATACATTTTAAAAATATTTTGAAGTATACAGGGTGTCCAGGAAAAGCGTACCATATCAAAGTTAAATTTTTTTAAATGGAACACCCTGTATTTTACTGCATTTTTGAAAGCACCGTAAAAAATAGGTGAACTTTATTAAAGGTTCTGCATACCTAGGACTTGTGAGATATTTCAATTTTAGTGAAAATTCAGGCTTAGCGTAGAAATTTAATATTAGCAATAAAAAAATAATTTTAAGGAAGCAGCCTTGGAGGGTCTATTTTATATCCTTGAAGTTATAAATTGTTATATTTGTCGTTACTTAGTATTATACAGGGTGTTCAAAAAACTGCTGAATACTTCTCTCAACTTTAAACAGCAATAACTTGGTTATTTTAAATGGAACACCCAGTATATTTTTACTTTGGGAGTTAGGAAATTTAAAACTCTTTCAAACCGTGTATAGGTTTCCTATACCTATCTCTAACGGTATTGAAGATATTTGTGTCGTTTCATTTTTTATCGATATTTTTGTAAGATGTATCCACGTGTCTTTATCTAGGTCTTTACTGAATTGGTTTGGGTTCTTCTTGATGACGTCTTTTTAAATATATTGAGAAAAATGAGGATGCAATTAGATGGCGCACCTGCAAATTTTTCATATTCAGTGAGAAATTATTTAAATCGAAAATTTAGTAACAAATGGATAAGTAGGAATGGTGCATGTCAGTGGCCACGTAGGAGTCCAGACCTCACCGTAATGGACTTATTTGTTGCGAGCTATATAAAAAATCTTGTACACAATGTTCCACCTACTACTTGCGATGATATTAAAGGGAAGGATTAGATATGCATTTGCGTGAGAATATCATTTGAAGATAGAATAAGATGCTGTATTCAAGAGAATGGTTATCAATTCGAACATCAATTAAAATTTTTCTTTGTTTCTTCTAAAAGTAAAATTTCCTTTTATCATTATCATGACAATATTCAAAAAAGTTTTCTAATAAAAAATATTATTTTATAAGCAGAATAATTATAAAAAGTTATTAATTTTGTATAAATATGTTTGTAGTAAGTAACTGAATTATTTATGAACATGAAAAATATTTATTAAAGAAAATTTTACTTTTAGAAGAAACAAAGAAAAATTTTAATAGATGTTCGAATTGATAACCATTCTCTTGAATACAGCATCTTATTCTATCTTCAAATGATATTCTCACATTCCTTAGAATATTTGGGGTGATTGTGGCAAATGCATATCTAATCCTTTCCTTCATATCATCGCAAGTAGTAGGTGGAACACTGTGTACAAGATATATTTTTATACAGCCCGAAACAAAGAAGTCCATTACGAGAGGTTTGGACACCTGTGGTAGCCACTGACATGAACCATTCTTACCTACTCATTTATTACTTAATTATCGATTTATATAATTTCTCACTGAATATGAAAAATGTGCAGGTGTGCCATGTATTTGCATTCACATTTTTCTCCTTATATTTACAGAGACGTCATCAAGAAGAACCCAAACCAATTCAGTAAAGACCTCGATAGAGACACGTGGATACATCTTACAAAAAAAATCGATAAAAAACGAAACGGCACAAATATCTCCAATACCGTTAGAGATAGGTATAGGGAACCTATACACAGTTTGAAAGAGTTTTAAATTTCCCAACTCCCAAAGTAAAAATATACTGGGTGTTCCATTTAAAATAACCAAGTTATTGCTGTTTAAAGTTGAGAGAAGTATTCAGCAGTTTTTTGAACACCCTGTATAATACTAAGTGACGACAAATATAACAATTTATAACTTCAAGGATCTAAAATAGACCCTCCAAAGCTGCTTCCTTAAAATTATTTTTTTATTGCTAATATTAAATTTCTACGCTATGCCTGCATTTTCACTAAAATTGAAATATCTCACAAACTGTAAGTCCTAGGTATGCAGAACCTTTAATAAAGTTCACCTATTTTTTTACGGTGCTTTCAAAAATGCAGTAAAATACAGGGTGTTCCATTTAAAAAAACATAACTTTGATATGGTACGCTTTTCCTGGACACCCTGTATATTTCAAAATATTTTTAAAATGTAGCCGTAATCAACCTACATATACCCACCTATACAGGTTTCTGTAACATTTGCCGTTTGGTCACTAGCGACCGAGGCGTTACTGGTGGCCCACCCTGTATGTACCTACACCGGAATCAAAATATTCCATAATCTTGCGTTTTATTTCTTCTTATTTCCATTTTCCTGTTTATTCCAGGATATTACATTATATTCCAGGTTATTTCGTCGTGTTCATTGTTATTCCGGTGTATTCCCGCCACATTCCGATCAAAACGTAGGTACACTGATTCAGTATCATTTATCTAGGCACTGATTCCGGCTAGTGGATCACCCCTCGGTTATTCTTCATATGACACGTGATACTTGCGATACTGTAACTTCGTGGTAACGTGGCCTAACTTTTTTCCAGGAAATAATGCGATACAATTAAAATTTTATAAAAGAAAAATAGTATACAAGTGTTTGTTACCAAACTTGACAACTACATGTAATAACAGATGTGAGTGTTTTAATTATCTTCGGTTAACGCTATGTTTCAATAACCACGAAACAAATTTCAATGGGCTTTAACTGTTATTTACAATATTAAGAAATGGTTAAATTCAGTATAATCCTTCAATCAGAATCGGAGATTATCTTGCAGTAAACCGGACTTGAGGAAATTAGTTTTACTGATGGTAATGGCATCTAACGAGCGTTCAAATAAAAACGTGGTCAAGTTGGTTCTGAAAATTTGGACGTAGGGCGTAGCGTATAGCAAATGACTTAAACGTCATCTGTCAAAGCGCTATATCGCCCCTATAAATTTGAATATTTTCGTTTTAAAAAGCGTTTAAAATGGTGTGTCCTCAAGAACAAAAAGTGTTTATCATAGAGTCCTACTTTAGAAATGGACGCAAGATTGATGGAATATGGAAGTATTCTATTGAGGAATGTTTCATAGAATTTCAAAATCAATTTCCCGGCGTTGTTGAGTACAAAATTTTTCAAAGTGCAGTTCAGCGTTGTGTTAATGTTTTTCGTGAAACGGGCAGTGTAACAAGAAAAGAAGGAAGCGGCCGACCTAAAAAGCGGACTGAAGAATTAAAGAAAATGTCCAACAAATAATGGAAAATGCGCCAAGAACTTCTGTACGTGTTTTATCACAAATGGTGGGAGTATCAGTCGGTACCTGCCACACAGTGTTAAAAAAAGATTTGCGTTTGTTCTCCTATCGTTTAACTTGTCAGCAAGAACTTCATGAAGTTGATTTTCCGCGACGGGCTGTATTTTGTGAATGGTTTTTAAACAACTACGGTGAACTTCATAATATCACCTTTTTTTCTGATGAAGCCTGGTTTCATTTAAGTGGTTACGTAAACTCACAGAATATGAGAATGTGGTCTTCTGAAAAACCAGATAACTTTTTTGTCTACACGCTCAAAAAATTGGAGTTTGGTGTGCTCTCAATCGAAGGAGGATTTATGGACCTATTTTTTTTAATGGTACTCTTACTGCGCAAAGGTATAGAGAAGAAATTATCGCTCCTTTTGTTAACCAGCTGGAAGAAAACGAAATTACAAACTTTTACTTTCAACAAGATGGCGCAAGGGCACATACGGCAGGCGAGACGATGAATATGTTGAGGGAACTTTTCCAAAATCGACTAATTACGCCGTGTGATTTCTTTTTGTGGCCTTACCTTAAAAACACTATTTTTGAACTGCCTATTCCTGATTTAAACCATCTGCAGGCTCGACTTATAGACAAGATTCGTGAAATTAACAATACCCCGAGCATCTTAGAAAATGTCTTTAATTCTTTGAGGAACAGGTGTGAAAAGTGCTTGGAACAAGGAGGGGGACACTTTCAGCAGCTGCTTTAATTTATTGTTATAACAAGGAGGGGGACACTTTCCGCAGCTCCTTTAATTGTTTGTTATTGTTATCACGATTATTCTTTAAAATAAAGTTATATAGTCATTAACGTTATTGAAACTGACAGCTGCTATACAGCTCGTTGAGAAATGAGGTTAAGTTGGTCGCTATAAGCTACTCCCTACGTCCAATGTGTCAGAGCCAACTTCGACCACGTTTTTATTTGAACGCTCGTTATAATTTAATAGCTAAATTACTATATCTGTGACATCTATCCTTCTGTGGTATATCTTTCATATTTACATTTGCTTCCTGTTACAAACCGGTTTGTGCAAGTAAGCGCTTGGTAGGTCCATAAGCCCAATAATGTATCAATTACATAAATAAGTATCTAGTATCAGACACTAACAATTAATTGTCTTGTTTTAGGACAAATGTAAAACATATCAAAAAGTGTTATCAGTATTTATATACGTAACGAAAAAGAGGGATATATTCAATGAATTAAATATTAACGAATATCTAACTGCTTTTGGTCTATTCGTTCTGCCAAAATTTAGAGGGCAAGGAATAGCTACAGAAATTTTGAAAGCGAGGTAGGAAATAATGAAACAAATAGTTTTTCAGTTCAGTTTTGTGTTTCAATCCGATTGCAATAATTGTTATATGGTTTAATAATAATTGTCTCGACAAAGAAAATAGGTTGCTTTGTATATCTGATGTTATAATTAATTTAGCATTTTATTTTTAGGCGTGAGTTATGTTTAGCAGTTGGAATCAAAGCTTCAGCCACGATATTTACATCTATTATATCCCAAAAGAATGCTAGGCAGGCAGGGTTTAAAGATTTTGTTGAAATTGATTATGATGATCTGGAGAAGATAAACCCCATGTGGAATTTTCCAGGAATTACTTCCTTTACCAAATCTATAAAATATATGTACATACAATATTCCTGAAATGTTATTGATGTTTAAAATACCTTTCTATTTATATGTTGACTAATGTCATGAAATACCTCTTAAATGGTTAAATAAATAATTAAACTTAATGGCATCTTAAAATTTTAAAGGCCCACATGGCTTACGGGTCCTTTTACAATGCGGTCTTAGCAGTTGAAATCAATCAACTATCAGTAGAATTACATTGTGAAATGGCTGCTGTGGATTGCGGAATATTAGAATTTTGACGGTTTACAGATCTCCTGATGGTGATTTTGAGGTATTTTAGAGATATTGAATGCAGCGTTGAGTACCTTCGTAAAGGCGAAAAAATTTTTGTTTATATCTGGTGACTCGTTCATTTTCATGACAAAAAAAATAAACATGCCTTACTATTGATAAATGTGTTTAAAACGTATGGCTTAATATTGACTTATCTAGGTGCCAGTAGAAATAATTATTCGTATTATTTTCTTGGAAAAAGTTGGCGGACGCATTAGTACACGTCACTGTGTAAAACCTGGAGGTTTTCATCAAATGAGCTGATTAATTTATAAGGAAAATGCAATAAAACGTAAAAACAAGCCCAAATATCTCCTAAACGGCTGCTACTATTAAAAAACACCAAGAAACATTTTTCATACAGTACCTGAATGTAAAATTATTTCTTCTATTTTTTTTCTTGGGAAAATGAGGCGGCAGCTCTAGTAGCACGCCACCGCTTAAAGCCATAAGGTTAATATTACATACAATAAAAGGTGAATATGCTGTAGTAAATTTCATTCAATTCCGTCAGCGCATTATGAATATATAGTAGAAAAAATATATATTTTTGTAAACTTTAACACCCTGTATATCGAATACCGAGTCCCGCAGGAATAAGTTTATAAAGCAAGCACTACTTATTTTTTGGTAATGAATCTAGACCTGCAGTTTCTGTATTTAAAGTGAAATTACTCTGTACAATCACAATCTGGATAATGGGAAAGGTAAAATTAAAAAACTGATTGTGAATTTCTATTTTTAAGATTAAGATTCACCACTGTAACATGTATAGTCTTTTCTATGAGCTCTGATATGAATGATATTTGATAAAACGGCGATATTAGTATAAATACATGTTGTCGTATTCCACCCTTCGAGTGAGTTTCAGGATTTCAGAACACTCAGTATATTCCTAGACGCCGTCTTGTACCTACGGATATACCTGAGACAGTTGAATTGGGAAGGAGGCAAATTCGTCTACCTTTCCAATCCAAACCGAAAACTCGCCACGGTTGCAAAACTAATCGCCGTCGGCCGGGCAAATCAAAAAAGCCTCCACGGTATCAGTTCAGACATCGAACTCGATACCGTCTGGGAACGATTTCCGCGACTCTGCACCCTAGTACGGACGTCGCCCCATAACATGACATCGATCCTCTTGGCGATAGCGCCTCCAAGACCAATTTCACCGATGTTTCCAATGTCATCTATATTGCGGCCGATCTCGCCTGGGTCTGCCATCCCGGCGCTCAATATCCCCTGCAGCGACTCTCACAACCTGCAGACGAACTACGGCACTCTTCAGGGCAATATTTGGAAACAACCATCTAAATTTTTACTAACCTTTCGAATTGGTCCAAGGACGCTATCGTCAATAATTCGAAAAGTTATTGAGCGATTGGTGCCAAAATTTAATGCAGCACTCCTCAAGTCACTGTCATTATCCCCTTAAAGTCGGATGAGCCAAAACGCCGTTATACGGGGAAACGCGGATTTTACGTTTTCCGCGTTTTTAGCCGTTCTACTCATTCGATCTCGGCCGAACCTCAAAACCACACTAGAGCATCCCTTATCATATCCAAATTCGAGCCGAATCGTGCGACTACTAACGGCCAGCTAAGCCATCATAGGATTCCACGTTTTCCTAGCTGCCGCCGAAAGTGTCCGCGCGATCTCGGCCGAACCCTCCAACCACGGCACTACTTCGTGCCGTGCATCACCAGTCCACTGTTGAATCAGATCCATGCAGTATTAAGACCTCCGTAAGCCCTTTTACGAAGATGGGGAAAATTTCACCGATGTTTCCAATTTCCCCGTATTTGGGCTGAAAGAACCGTCTTCCGAAGGTCCCACCGCTCTGTCGGTCGAATACGATGCTCGGTAGCCTAAGCCGAGACCGCGGGTAGAGTTTTCTCAAAATGGGAGAAAACTCCAAAATCCCCGATGCCGACATCAACTATCTGGAGAGGCCAGAGGGGAACGAGATCCGACGTCGACGACGGCGACGGGCGCTTTTTACTGGAAATTTTGGCGGACGATTCACGAGCGTTCCGCCAAAAGTATGGAGATCAGAGAAAAGCGATCGAACGTCTACTTCCAGTTTGCAGTACTTCAGTGGGAGTGCATAGCGTGATTGAAGCGATACAGAGCAATATGTAACAATAAATATTCTATGGTAAATGTCTTGTCTGTGTTAATTAAGAGCACTTATTGTCTGTTAATTCTGTTCAATAAATCTTTTAACATATCTTCCACGGTTTGATTGGAAAAACCCTGTCATCAAACTCAAGAACTTTTGGAGCTCACAGTCTCGCTTCACGAGGCTTCCGTCAAGGCTGCCATACCTTCGACGAGGCAATTTATAGTGCTTAGCAACCACTACTCGCTTCACGAGACATACCACCCGAGGTAGCCTAATCTGAGGTGAAGACCCTGTTCGATAGCCCCCTGCATCGAAACAGTGGTAAACTCCAGGCTCCTTTTCTGAGACCTGCGATATCCTCCGAGACTGACCACCTCCGATGAAGATCCTGTTCGATAGCCTCCTGCATCGAAACAGTGATACACCAGGCTCCTTCAGAGACCTGCGTACCGCCCGAGGTAGCCCAACCTGAGGCGAAGATCCTGTTCGATAGCCCCCTGCATCGAAACAGCGATACATTTCAGGCTCCTTTAGAGACCTGCGTACCGTCCGAGGCTGAGAACCTCCGACGAAGACCCTGACTCCGATTGTGCCGGCTCCATCGAGAGACCCGCACCTCGGTACAGCGGTACCCACATAGGCTCCTACGAGTCCTATCATTCAGACTCTATGTAAATCCGAGGCAACTTTCCTCGTCAAATCTCTAGGCGGTCACTCGTCGAGGCAACCTTCCTCGTCATACCCCTACGAGGCATTTTCTTTGCGACCTACGGGTCCAAAGCAATAGTACTCACGTCATTGCGGCGGCGTACTCCAAATTTAGCAGAAGTTGTCCTTGCTTCTCAGGGCTTCTTCGTACGGGGTAAGATGTATCCCTGCGACGCGACATCCAGTGCTACGAAGATTGGTGTCCTCGAAGGTACAACAAATAAATCAGATCGTGATTCTATGATCAAGACTGAGCTGGACGAGACCTCATCACCCTCAAACGCTATCTCGGTGCTCCGTGAAGAGTCTGAGGATCCGAAGGTGGTAGCTCGTGGAAGCACGCGGTACGGCGACGCCACAGTGCCGTACAGGCTGAGGTCCGCAGCTGCGCGAGTTACCGATACCACCTCGAGTATCCCTCAAGACGTGCCTATGGAAACGAGTAGCTCTCAAGAGTTGCCACGAAGTGGGTCAACCACAAATACTCGGGGCGAGGTTATACCTACGCACCAACTGGTAGGGTCCGGGGAATCCCATGAGCCTGACCACACTTCGCGGTCCGGCCCCGATGTCGGCCTACCTCCGATATCGAGTGTCCCGGGACATGGAACCGTTGGTACCGGCGATACAGTACAATCAGCATTTTTACGAAATGGTACCCAGCGGGAGTAATGTGCATCTCGTTCGGGTGCCATAACATGCGAAAACCCCTTAGCCGACTTCGTCGTAGGTGACGTAGCCGACTCTTTCTATCTAAGCAATTTTGGTACATCGCCCGTCCACTCTCATGATTTCCCCCGAACATTCGATCACCGCCTAAGTGGTCCTTATTTAGAAAGTCTAACCCGACACGGCGCTCGACGTGGTGCTCGAACATCGTCTTCGAGATCTCCCCCACGAGCTCGTGTCCTAGACACAATGTCTGTAGGTCATATCCACCACAAGCTACAGTTGTTCGAGAATATAGCGCGACCTGGCGTCCAAAGTGACGATCCATTTGAACTTCTGGTGTCTCCACCGCGGACCCAGGTCGAGGAAACCAATACTTCCAATCATAGTTCACGACATGGCGCTCGACGCGGGGCTCGGAGCTCTGCTTCGACGTCTTCGCGACGTGCCCAGGTTGGCGAATCACCCCAAAATTCTCAATTATTAGGCACTTCAAATCATAAACCACGACATGGCGCCCAACGTGGGGCTCGATTAGAACTACCGATGTCCTCACCGAGGACCCATGTCGATGTTACAAACAATTCCGATCATAGATTACGACAATGTAAAGTTATGCCATAAAGTTGATTGTTACTTCAAGTCATATTTATAAATGAGTTAAATATATCGTATCTACGTATTGTGTTTTATTTATTTTTGTATAAAGTACTTATATTTACATAAATGGTGCAATTTAGTATTAACGATAAAAACAATTATCAAATATTCTACATAAAATATTAAATAAATGTAACTGTTTAGTGCATAGCGTCTTCTGCTTCACATGGATGGTCGACCAGAAAGTTTTTTTGAAACTCGAAATATATTCGGACTTGGAATACGACAACACATCAAAAATTCTTATTCTCTATTATAAAAATTTTATTCATTTTTATTTCGCTGTTATTTACAACTCGTCCACCAATCATCTACTAAATCCAATACGTCTAACCTGTGATGGATTGGTCATTAGGGATATTTTTGGTGGATTTTCACACATGTTTATATCATCAATCGATAGTCGTGCATCATTTTGATGAATTTACAAACAAATAAAATTTGTTTCAAGTAACAGGATTTACAGCACAAATTACCACTATCCAGAGTGTCCCAGTTTTAATATATCAATATATTTAATATTTTGTAAGTTTACCACTTACGTAGATATTCTGGTGTGCTTCAAGAATCCAAAAATGAACTACTATTTATTAACGATTTGCCCCTAAAATCATCTAAGATCTATCCTGTTCTTTTGGCGATGA